GGTTTTTGTTTTGTTTTGTTTTGTTTTTTAAACTGGGGATCCAAGTCAAGTCCTTGTGCTTTTGAGGCAGGCAGCAGCACCACTGACGTAAACCCCCAGCCCCCTTGCTAATATATTTTGCAGATAGGTAGGTGGGTAGATGGATATATAGTTTTTATGTAAGAAATTTAGTTGCCAGTCCTTATCTTGTTCTTTTAAGAGTTATCAATAACTGTGTAAGTTACTAGATAAATGTATTGAATATTTCTGAGAAGGGTGGAGCCTGAATAGGAAGTACTACAGCAAAAATGGCAGTTTCTGCTTTTGTCTTAGAGAAGTAGTACTATTTCTTGCTGTTTGGTTGTTAAAAGTATTCAAATATTGTTGTGCACAAGATTAAGTTCATAAAGGGAGTGAAGTAACCCTCTTTAAACCATCCTGTCACAGTAGTATTCTTTCTTTCTTCTAAGCTTTCCTCTTTTCACTCACAATCAGAAGATGGTTAGAAATGTTTTTGACCAAACATTCTGACTCGAAGTATTTTGAGGTACAAGGGTTACATATCTGCCTAATATACTACACGCATTATATAGCAATAGTTTCTGTGGTTTTTATGAAAAAGAACTATTCTCATTAATCTTTCAAAGGTGCCTACTAGTACATTAATGTTTGAAAAAGTAAGTCATTATTAAATATGATTCTCTCATTTCTTTGATTAAAGATCTGCACCAGGACAGTTACTAATGACAGTATGTTTTCAGAGTGGTCCAGAGTATTCTATGATTTTTAATTGTAACTAACTGAAAGGAGAGGTTAAAAAAAATGAAAAATCATTTTCATTCATAGTATCTAAGTAGTTGTTACTATTATCTTTTTTAAATGCTGTTAAAATCTGTTTCCAAAGCACATAGTTAAAGAATTTTGGCAGGTACTAAACATGGACAAATCAAACTTCAGAAAACAATCAATCACAACTTTATCTTAGGCAACTTTAATTTTTTAAATTTCTTATTAAGTTGTGCTCTTATTGAATTTGAAGTTTGTTATTAAACAGGAAAGGATGTTCCTTTTATATTGAGTTTCCGTATTGCAACATAAGAACTGTCTACACACCCTGGATTTGCGGGGAGTTAGCTTGGTTTCATTCCCTGTGTCCTTTATAACTCGGATAGTTTTACCAGCAGCATTCAAATAGTTAAGATTGTCTGAAGGGGTAAAAAACTCTCTTGACGAAACAAACAGCCTCAGCCCTCCCTCCTTCCCTTTCTCAACCAGTCTGGTTTCCTCTTATGGTTTCGCTAATGGCAGCTCAAAGTTGTTGCACTCTGCCCTGCCGGCATGAGCCCCTCCTTCTGTGAGAGCACATTTCCTGGCATGGAGGCTGCATCATGTCGGTAAAATGGGGTCGGCTTCCTGAAGTACCCCTTATAACAGTGAGATTCCCAGGACAAAAGTATGGGCAGGTAAGAGCCTGACTTCTCCAAAAGCACTCAAATCTGAAAGAGACGGTGTAGTTTATTTGTTGCTTTGTTTTAGCTTTGGAAGAAATGTTTTGGATTGTTGCAAGGGACGATTAAGTTATTTATTATTCAGATTTGAAGAGCATTGCAAAGTGTGAGAGAATAAGCTCGTTATCATAGATTCTTGACTGTTGGAGCATGCTTCTAACCTTCATAAAAAAGGCAGGTGCCTTTTAGTCTAAAATTTCATACATGAAAAAACATTCAGCAAAATTGAAGTGGAATGAAGTGGAAATGAAGAAATTGTTTTGAAAAACTCAGGTTTTTGTTGTTGATCTCTATTGGAGTTTTTTTGTATTGAAACAGTTACTGATTTTCACTTTGAACAGTTTCCTGTTTTGTAAAGTGAAGTAGTTTGCTTTTCTCCCTTCCTCTCTTGATATTTTGTGTAGTTCAAGACTATGTAGCACTTTGGCTCTTATATTTTACATGTACTTTTCTGTAAACAAAGGACTTCCTGTGAATCTTAAATTTTAGGAAATGCTGTATTTACCATTTCAGCATAGTGGATTGGTTTTTAACAAAATACTTGATGGTCTTTTGCCTTTCCAGTATAGTGTCATAGTGAGTGAAGGTTGAGTTGGTCAGCCAGATCTGGATCTTAATTCTGGTTTGAGTGTTGCTGGTGTGTGGTCTTGAGTGTATTTTTAAACATCTGTAAGCCTCAGCCTCTTTAGATGTAAAATGGAGATAACTAGTACTTAATCCATTGAGTTTAGAAAATTCATGTAAATTGCTTATTATCATGTTTGACACACAGTAACCATTCAGGACTTAGCTGTCTTTTAAAAAGTGTAATAGAACTGTAGTGCCTAGCTTTCCCACTTCAGATTTATTGAATCAGATGAAATAATCTGTATAAAAGGCATTAATTTAAAATGTAAGGTATTGAATAGTGTCATGATCACTAACTTTGAATTTCCCATTTTCTGGGTATTTTTCTAGATTATAACAATAGTGCAGCAAAACATGAAACTCTTAAACCTCCATTGTAGTTCTTTGTGGTCCATTTGGGTTGAAAGGAAATTGTTAGGTTGATTTTGATTAGCCAGCCAAGTGCTTTGCCAAACAGTGCTTTCAAAGACCCTTTATGGAGAGCATTATCCCCAGGCCATGTAAGCACATAGTTCCTAGTGTCCCTGACTTGTTTAGATATTTAATTAAGGATCTAACACTCTTTGATATTTCTTCAACTTTTTTCAGGTTTAGATTCCTTTATGTTCCTTATCATGCTTGCATAAACTTTGATAACAATCCTCTTAGATAGAAGCATGATGTCATATAAAAGCCCTCTTCTTTTGCTGTATCCCAAAGCATTTCAAGCATTCCTATAGTGTTTTGAGGTGACATACCGAGCAGCCTGGCACCCAGAACTTATAGTTCAGACCACCTCTTCCCCCTGGGTTCAGTCACTTCTGTGTCAGCCAATATCTTGGAGCTTTATACAGTGCATGGCCCAGTACTAATACTGCTCAGTCTCTAGATGGCACCTAGTATATTGGCTGGACACATAGTAAACACTAGATGAACATCAGTTTCCTGTTTCATAAGACAAGTGAGGGAAGACCACAAGAAAACTAGGGACCTTTTCAGCAGAGAGCAGAGAACGGGTCTTGGGAATCCTCTTCTCTTTAAACCAGAGACACTGCTTGCTCTTTCTATCTTTTGGGGCCTTCATGCAGAGAACTTATCATCTAGGCCATGGGGCTTCCTTCTGAGTCCCCATTTTCTTGAAACTACCATTATGATGTAAGTAGCTTGAAGGGGACAAGGTGGTTTGGAAAAAATGTCAGCAAGATTTCTTCCTTTCTTTTTCATGTTTCCTATCCTCCTTGCTTGGCACCAGTGCCCCTTTTCTACTCCTTAGTTTATTTTCTCCTCAAAATTTCTTTTCTCTCATTGCAGGGAAATATTTTTCTCTATTGAGTTAGGAGAGTAGTGAGCTATCACTTCTCAGACTTTTGGCTAAGATCAAGTGTGAGAGAGCAGTGAGCTAATGAAACTCATTCTCAGCAAAGCATGAATAATTATTGTAATAGCTATTGTTAAATAGTATTGCTTACTCATTATGGCAGGCACATTGTAATGTGCTTTACGTGTATTTCATGTAATTTTAAAAAAAGATTTAGTGTATGTTTGTAGTACACAATGATTACATTAATTTTGGGGACTTGATTTGTGGACATAACACATCTTAATTTTTTCCCCCAGTACTGAGGATCAAACTCAGTACCTTGGGCTTGCAAGGCAAGCGTGTTGCCACTGAGCTAAATCCCTAGCCCCTTAATTTTTAATTTCCACTTTCCTTCTCTCCCTCTCCCCTTCTTCCATCTATCTCACTTAATTTAAACATTTAAATATATTTTAACTAAATGTATAATTGATGTATGCACACATGAAAAGGGCCACTTTCCCATTTTTTAGATATGGAAACTGAAACCTAGAGAATAACCTGCCCACATTCACATCATTAGTAAGTAGTAGTACTAATAGAACTTAACAGTTAAACCTGAGCCTGACACCATTTTCCATATCCTGTGCAGTTCTGTCCACTGTGAACTTATTCTGTCCTCTTCCTCTCAACAGTCCCTTCTTCCCAAATTAAACACTCTGCTCTCTGCGTACAGCTGACCCTAAATTTGTTTTCTTCCTTCCAACATTTTTATTTATTTATTTATTTATTTTATTTTTTATTTTTTTTTGGTACCGGGGATCGAACTCAGGTCCTTGTGCTTGTGAAGCAGGTGGTGGAACCACTGAGCTACATCTCCGACCCCTCATTATTTTCTTCCTATGCAGACTGCTGTGGCTTACTGAGAATACATCTTACCCAACACATGAGGCCTCTTTCCAGTGTTGATCTTTGAGCATTGTATCTTTTAGTATAAATAATCCCTGGATGAACCACTGCCAGAGCTTTGTATCCTGTCCAGTCTTTGTATAATTTTTCTAATGTAGCTTTCCTGTTCATAAATTAATAATAAAAAGTTTGCCTGAACATTGCTCCTCACTTTTGTCCAAAAGATTCACCAACCACTGTTGACCACATGCCCTCTGGGTATTCAGGTAAAGAGGATGCCTTCCAGTGTTCAGTTAACTGTCAGTTCTTTTCTTTGGCAGGAAAAAGAGAAAGAGAAAGAGAAAATTAAGGAGAAGGAGAAAGATTCTAAAGAGAAGGAGAAGGACAAGAAGGTTGTCAATGGGCATTCTTTCAATTCCATTCCTGTTGTGGGTCCCATCAGTTGTACCCATTGTATGAAGCCTTTCACCAACAAAGACGCCTACACTTGTGCAAGTAAGAGTCATGCTTCTTCCTCTCTGTTAGATGAGCCTCTCTTGGCTCAGGAAAGTTGGTTTCTAGTTTCCTGTCCATCCCACCACTTATCTGTTCCTCATATATGTGCAGAAGTAGCTGTGTTTATATTTTCTTTAAGCATTTGCGGAAATTGATTCTAGATACATAACGTACAACCTGGTTTTTTTTAGATAGCCCCAGTTTCAAATACTGTGTTCTGTTGCCTGTGAACCACCTTTTATTCCAGAAGTCTGTGTCAGCATCAGAAATATCCATAGCCTCAAAACCTGATGGTGCCCAGCAATCTTGTCAGATCAAGTTTGCTCATTTTTAAATCTAGTCTTTTGCTGTATGATTCGGCCACTTAACAAACATTAAGTTGCAGAGCCTGGCAAGGGAGGGTACCTTCTTGTATGGAGAGGTTCCATGTTGACCCATTTCTGTCCTGCTTGCAACCTCCATACAGGCCAGATAACTTGAGCTTTGATAAGATTCTCTCAGGCAAGAGTTAGTTAACTTTCTTTGTAGGGGACTTAGATAATAAATATCTTTAGTTTTGTGGGCTATCTGGTCTGTCGCAGCAGCTGAACTCTTTATGCATTGCAGAAGTGGCCATAAACATACAAAGCAAAGGTATGACTTTATTCCTATAAAACTTCATTTATGGACACAAGTCTGAATTTCATAAAACCTTTTCATGTCATATATATATACATGTGTGTGTACATACATGTGTGTACCCCACCCCACTCCCCATACCAGGGATCAAACCCAGGACCTTGTACTTGCCAGGTGCAGTGCCACTGAGCTACATCTCCCACCCTGAATCTTTTCATGCCATGTATTATTAATCTTATTTTTTTAACCATTTAAAATTTAAAAGCAATTCATAGATCATGAGCTGTGGAAAATGGGCTATGATCCACATTTGGTGCACACACTTTAATTTGCAAATAAATTCTAAGACAATAAAAATCAAAATTTTGTTGTTACTAACATAGTGGTGTTTTTGTGGAGAGTGCCAAGATGAATCAAGGAGGCTGCTTTGGTCAGAGATGACCAGTCTGGAGATCCAAGCACTCCAGAACCAGCCTAGTCCAAGAAGGCTAAGATGACAAAGTATCATGTTATGTCTGCAATCAGTTCCGACAAAATCTCCTTAGATTCTATGAAGTCTTAGATGATGATGCCATGATGTCTTGTTTTCAGTCATTTGTGTTGTTTCCCAAATAATTTGTGACTAAGAAATTATTAACTCATTCAAATTGGGAATTTTTTAAGGTTTATTTAGCAATTCAATGTTGCTTTTATAATAATTTCCACTCACTTGCTTTCTTGAATGGAGGAGAAATTACAACAAGCAAAGAACCTGCAGTCTGTATTATATATGCTGTGACTCTGGTGACATTTTTAAATGATTGGCTTTATCATGCATATTCTCATAAAATTATTTTTATGGCTATACTGTAGCCCCAGAATGGTCTACACTCCTGTTTGCTTTACTGTGCTGTTTTTAAAATACAAAGACCCTTGGAAGTGCTTATCTAAATCTTTATGCATCCCTGTAGGCAGAGCATTATCCTTCATATGTAACTTAACAGAAAATTAGGAGTTTCTGTCACATAGCAGTAAGTTTCAGATGACCTGTAGGAAACGAGACTCTGTTCATTATTCCTTTGGACTTTTTATTTAGGAACCCTGGTTATGTAGGAATTTTTTCTAGGACACCAGTGGGATGTCTGTAGTTTAGTTGTTTAGCTTGTTTCTCAGCACTGGAATAACTTGTTTATTTAGAGCAGAAGTCACTGAGCAGTTTTGTTTTGTTTTTTTTTACATGTTCATCTCTCATAAAAATATATTTAGCATATTTACGCAGGAAATATATATTTAATGTAAAAGTTTCATACGTCTTACTACTGAAGAGCTCATTCTAAGGATAAAAGTGTCAGATTTACCATTTTCTTGTTTTCTAGTTACTAGTATAGTTAAAACATTTTTATTCATAGCTTCTTGGCATAATTTATACAGCTCTCTTAGTTTAAACCAGATAATCTGTAAGCCCACTTAACTGGGTTCTTTTACATTCCCATTCATTACAACAGAATGAAAATAAGTAAATGTAGAAGAGGGCCCCATCTATGCTTCCCTAACCCACCTCCTGATCAAGGAGCCTCCCTTTCCTCTCTCAGGAGCCCACTAATATAAATAAAGTGAGGCTTCCTAAAATAAAGATTGAAGACATCTGTGTGTATTGTTTGTTTTGAGAAGTGAATCCAAATGACAGCTGTTCAAGCTAGGAGTGTAGCATGGTGGAGAAGTGCGTGCCTAACACACAGAAGGCCCTGAGTTCCATCACCAGCATCAGTCAGTCAATAAGGAGAGAGGGAAGGAGAACTGTAAATTTTTATCTCACCCTCTAAAAGGATTATTTTGTGCATCTGTCCCCTTAAAAGTGCCTTTTCTTTATTTGGGGAGCACTGGTTTCAGAACTACAGGAAGAGACTATATTTTTGATGCGCAGTATGGAATTGATATTCAAGGAACTTTATCATTAAAGCAGTTGGACACCTGCTTCTGCTATAAAAGCTGGATAAAACATTGTAAGTCCCTGACTTAGGAACATTCAAGTAGTGGACTTTCACAGGTGTACTATATAAGACTCACTTTGTGAAATGTAAGTGAATCTGACTTAAAAACATTCTCCCAAAATAACTAGTTTGTGAGGTGGGAATTAACTCTGTGTGTGTGTCTGGCAAAGGGAAAAATCCTTTAGGGAACTCAAAATCAGGATTAAGAAGCATCAAACTCAATTGGAATCAGGTTATGTACATAGTAAGAGCTGGATCTGAGAACCTGAAATAAAACCAAGATCTTTGAAAACTAGCATCAATGATGAAAGGCCTAGAAAAATTCCACTGACTGTTCTTCAGAAGCAAGAACCTTGCAATCTCCCAAGGTCCTGGGTGAGAATTCTGCATCATACATCAATCTGGGGTCCAAATCTGTACCGTTTGTCTGTGCTAAAGCCCTTTCTTTTCCTTGTGTAGTAGAGAAAATTGGTGAATGGTTTCAGTGATTAGCTTCTGATGACTTTTCAATTTTAAGTTTAGGTCAGAAAAAGTTGTCTAATATGCACCAGTATGTCTTAAATTGCCAATGATTTTGTATATACAAAAACAAATTAAAAACTGAAATTGTGCCTTCTTTGCATTAAATCTTAGCAAGAGATTTATCAAATAGCAAAAATTTCCACTATTGGACCGGGGATTTAGCTCAGTGGTACCATGCCTGCCCCGTTAAACACAAGGTCCCGAGTTTGATCTCTGTACCCCCCAAAAAATGTCCATTATTAGTAGGGAAGACTCATTTCATTTAACTGTAGGCATCTGAAGCTCATTTTTATCTCCCCCCAAGAGTGTCTGATACAATTCTTGGAGACTTCCATTACTCAAGGATAACAGCAGCCCATGGAAAATGACTTGTGGAGGGTCTGGTACTGATTAAGAAAAACTACATGAAAGGTATTAGGATCTCAAATTCTCAGCCACATCTATCTAATAACCAAATAGTTTAATAGGGTAGTGGTTTTCAGGAAGTCTGGTATTTATTTAGAATTCCACAGATTTTTAAATTTATATATATTTCCATGCACTCAGGAGGCTGAGACAGGAAGATCCCTGCAAGTTAGAGGCCAGCCTTGGCTACATAGTGAGTTCAAGGCCAGCCTGAACTGTATAGTAAGACCCTATCTCCAAAAATATATATTTAAAAACTAGTTTCTGTTCTCATTAGGCTTTAATTGGCTCAAAATCCTATGACAGGTTTTTGGTCAAGTGTTTCTGTTAGAAAGTGCTGATTTTTAAAAACCATCAACTTGAAAATGTTTCACAAGAACAGAAGGAAATAGTCTACCATACATTCTTGTTTCCTTTTGAAGATTTTACCATGCATCATCATCATTAACCAGTCTTTTGCTATCAAATTTAAATGACCATTTGAAATGAACAGCTCTAGAACCGTTCTACCACTGATTAACACTGGTGGATATTAGGAGTAGCATTCATTGAACCTGTGAGCTCTCTGTGCAGATTGCTGAGCTTGCCAGCTTCAGCAGCCTTTTTGTCAACTGCATTAAAAAACCCAAGGCAACTAACTGCTTCATACTACTGACAGCAGTCAACCCAGAAGGGATGTCAGAGAAGCTCGATGCCCATGGCCTTTCCAAGAACCATATAAACCGTTGCATCATCACCAGATTTCAGGAATTTAGGGCCACTTTCTACCTCCTTATCACAACAGTGATTAGTCTTTTGCTTCAGCTCAGCAAAATTGGAAGCAATGAAAGCTCTCTGACAACACAGCTGGCTTGTGTATATGTAAAACAGACATTCCTGAGCAGTAAGGCCAGCTGCTTCCATTTGCGGGTCATCAGTGTCACCAGCTGCAGTGCCACATCGTCGATAGATGCTTTCTTGAAATTGATGCCCACATTATCCCTAGGACAAGCTTTACTCAAGCCTGATGGTGCATTTCACCTAACTTTTACTTCAGAAATAATGTTGACTGGAACAAAGGTGTTCATTATGCCAGTTTTGAGAACACCAGTTTTAATCTTGCAATTAAAAAAATGTCTTCATAGTGTCACTATGAAATTTTCTTATCAGCATACTACCTTTGATATTAGCCTACCTGTTCATTTGTGTTTTTGCTTCCATCTTGATGTAATTGAAAAATACACTATGATTGCAAAGTAAACCATTTTTTAAAAATTGGTTATACTTGTATTTACCTATATAAGTGAATAAAGATGTCTTTTGCTTCATATACTTAAACCTAAACAGAATAAATTAGATGCTGAAGTTGTGAGAATCATATGTACCTCTGATTTCAGTTTTTGAAGTCCATCAAAATACTCTCATTGATTAAAATTATAACTTCAAAAATCTATACTATTTTATATACTTGAACACATAATATCATTTCATTTAAGACTATGTTAA